TATGCTTTTCGTTCCAGATGGTCTTCAATCTCGCTAGTGCCGCTGTTGTCTGTACAATTCTGGACAGTACTTCAGGCTTGGAACCTTGATCTGTGACGACTGCGCCCAGATACTTGAAGCTGTCAATCTGGCCAATTTTTCACCGTTCATTCTGGTGTCAATGCTGATCCCATTTGCGTAGTTGGTCATCAGTCTGGTCTCGTCTGCACTAATTTCCTGCAGAAGTCTTATCCAGGCGATCCACCAGGGAGGCTAGTGCCTCCTCTTTTCCTGCCAGGCCATCAATGTCATCAGCAAAACGAAAGTTGCTAATTGTTTTGCCTCCGATGCTGATTGTTCCTTGCTGCTCTTCTAGTGCGTCAGTCACAATTCTCTCCTGAGAGGTGTTGAAAAGATTCGGTGAGATTAAACACCCTTTTCTGACTCCGACTGTGGTTCTGAAACAGTCTCCTATGCCGCCACTAAGGTACACTGTACTTTTGGCCTTGTTGTAGAGGTTTTCAATGAATTGGATCAGGTTGACGTTAATGTTATAAAGCCTCATAGTAGACCAAAGGGCTTTATGCCATACTCTGTCAAACGCCTTTTTAAAATCAATAAAGACGTGATAGAGGTCTTGTTGATGTTGGAGGTACCTCTCGCACAGTATCCTAAGATTGAAGATCTGTTCTGTCGTACTGCGACCTGATCGGAAACCTGCCTGTTCTTCTACGATGATTGATTCTGCCTGAATCTTCAATCTGTTTAACGGCACCTTCAGCAGGACTTTACTTGGGTGGCATATTAGGCTGATCGTCTGGTAGTTCTTGCACTGTTGAAGGTTGCCTTTCTTGGGAAGGGTGATGATAAGAGACTGGGTCCATGGTATGGGCCACTCTCCTGTCTGCTATATACCTTACTGCAGATTTTATGAAAGGTGCTTATCACGGCATCTCCTTCTGCCTGCACCAGCTCCCTCGCGATATTGTCTATCCTTGGAGATTTTCCCTTCTTGAGCGATTTTTCAGCTGCTTCGACCTTTTCCCGCAGGATTGGGTAATTATCAGTGTCGGTTACCAGTGGGACAGTCAGCACCTCAGGGTCACCTGGCTGTACACTTCTGCGTGATTATATTCGATCTGTTGTCCATTGGTGGTTTCAAAGTGTACTTTGTCCACCTTAGAGAGGTTTCCGTCCTATATAGTCATTAAACTACGTTAAAATGACTAAAAAGCGGCAGAGACAAACACCAGTAGTTAGTAAAATGGGTTTTGTGGAGCATGTTCCAGTATTTAAGAATTCCAATACTTCTAATAAAAAAATCCCTGAATATGCAAAAGACTTCAAAAAAGAATGGCTTTACATAACAGGGATAAATAAGAAGTGTGGTGAGGTTGAGACAATTATTTCTGATTATATTGATGAAGGTCAAAAAGCTGTGTTAAAAATTTGTAGAATTTTTAATACACTTAGTAAAAATTTTAAAAATGTATTAGAAGCCCAAAAAATTGGGAAACTTAAAAAAATTCGTGATTTAAAATTCAAATTAAATGATGTTTTTAATATTATTAATTTAAAAGATAGTATATTTTCTGCAATGGGAAACAACCAATATGTATATTTTTTTACAGATGAAGAAGTTCAAGAATTTCTTGAGGATTTAATAATATTTACTCATAAAGTCAATATTAAAGATAAAAGAGATTTTGAAGATAATAGTTATTTAGAGTATTTAGATTATAGTGATAGTGATAGTGATAGTGATATTGATGTTAGTATTGAAGATGAAGTTTTTAGAGTAGCTATAGAAATAATAGATAATGATAGTGATAGTGATGATGAATAGATATTATAATAGTGATGATTTCTAAACTTATAACATTTTTTGTTACAAGTTTGAAGAAGTATTAATATATACAACTAATAAAAATGGAACCAAAATCAAGAGAAACTACTCCTACAAAAGAGGATTTGGATTTTATTGTTGATGATGGTTTATTACTTTACTAAATATGTCATTTATTAGATTTTTTTTGTTTTTAAATTAACTTAAAATTATATAATTAATATAATAAGATGTATTGTCGTTGCAATAATGAGTTTGATTGGTTGATGGAAATGTTTAAAGGTAAATCTTTTTTTGATTGGGAAGATGTTGCTGAATTTATAGATGGTGATTTACTAAAATTGCGTTATATGAAAAAACGATTTGGTTACTTATTTTATGATGGATATAATTATATCAAAAAAATTAATGGACGTAATGCTATTTTTGTTAATAAAGAGGATCAATTTGTTTGTCGTAAACCTGAAGAACCAACATTTCATGGAATTGATGAAAACGAACCAATGATAAAAGATGGATCATTTAATGACAAACACTTTCTTAATACTACCATTCCTATGGAAGACACAGAGCGTTATGAGATTAAGTTTTTAGATGAAATAGATAGAGGAGATCCTTTTATTACACAAGATGAAAAAGAACGAAATGAAGAAGTAAAAAAAACTAAAAATCTTCTTAAAAAGATTAAGTTGGTGAAACCTGAAATATTTAACAGTGATGAATTTTATGAAGTGTTATATTCAAAAGAGTTTGATAACATCGAACTTGAGCAAGATACAGAAAAGTTTTATGAACAAGTAAGGGAAATTGTATTAAACGAAAAAAATTAGGAAATTACTATTTGATTAGTTTAGATGTTTAATATAATTAATAAAAAATGGAACCAAGATCAAGAGAAACTACTCCTACAAAAGAGGATTTGGAATTTATAGTTGATGATGGTTATAGACATGATGAGGATCCAGATTATGTTCCAAACGAAAAATTTATTCTTAAAGGACCAGAGTTTAAGAGATTAACCAGAAATGCTAAAAAGCTTGGTGCAGAAAAAATAAAATTGATTTATGATTTAAAGATTATCTAAATATTAATAAAAATGCAACTGTCCAGCTACGAAAATATTACCCAAGAGAATATTATCTTTAATGAAACCAAAGAGTACAAAGTCAAAGATAGCAAGATTAAATACAAACGTATTCCAATTGAAGTCAAATACCTAAATGGAAAGAAAGGACCACTTGTAATCGAAACTCCAGTTCTTTTCTCTTTTGGAGTAAATGAAAAGAAAAACCAAGAAACAAATAAGTTAGTAGGTTATAGTATTCCAGTTTGTCTTTGGGCTAAAGATAGTGAACCGAGTAGTAAAGAAAAAGCATTTTTTGATGTTATTAATAATGTAACAACTCTATCTCAGAAACATTTAGAGAATGAATATGGACCAGATCTAGCATCATCTCTATCTTCACCATTTTACTATAAACAGGAGGAGTATATGGATAAGAAAGGAAAAAAGAAAACAAGAATTAACCCCTCATCTTCACCAGTTCTTTATGCAAAACTTATTTACTCTGAGAAATCAAAGAAAATTCTTTCACTATTTAAAACAAAGGGAAGGAAAGATTTAAATCCTTTTAAATATATTAATCAATATTGCAATGTTAAAATGGCACTAATAATCGAAGGAATCTTCATAAGTAAGACTGTTACATCTTTACAAATAAAAGTACATGAGTGCTATATCAAACCATTAAAACCTAGAGAATCTTTACTAACGATTGAAGAGGAGGAGAGTGAGGGTGAAGAGATACCTGATCAAGAAGTTGAAGACTTAATTTTATCTGATGAAGAAGAAGATGAGTAAATAATAGGATTTTATTTTTAATACAAATTTTGTATTAAAAATCAACCAAATCCTTCAAACTCACCCATGAGTTAAATTTATCAGGATATCCACTCCATTTTACTAATGCCATTTTCTTTTTACTATCCCTCCTAATAATCTTTTCTATTCTAAATGTTTGTTGTTTTGCTTTCTGTAGTTCTTGCTCGTAGAAAGAACCTTTAATCTCTTCTCCCATCAAATCAACAATGCTATAAGTAACAGGTTTTGTTGGAAAAACTTTATCAATTACAAATATCTCCTCTGTCCAGTTTGGTGTGTAACCTTTATCAAATACCTTTCTCTTATACTTAGAAATTCTAACATAATCACCAATCGCAACTTTTGGTTTACCAGGTTTCAAGTAAATTAAATCACCGTGCAAATTATTCCAAACTTTACTTTCATTTTTCTTTTTACTTGCTTCAACAGGAGTCATTTTTATACTAGAATGTCTCGTATTATTGTAATCATTAACTAGTTTATCTAACTTATCCCAGTAAACAGTGTTATTATTCACAGTAAACATTTTCCACATTCTGTTTTTCATTGTTTTATTCCATCGCTCAACAACACTAGATTTTTCTTCGTTTTCAGTGTGATACAACCTAATTCCATCTCTTTTCAGAAAATCTTTGAAATGTTTACTGATAAACTCAGAACCTTTATCAGTCCATAACATTTGAGGTTTACGTTTACTTTTGAATATATCATCAAATGCTTTACTAACAGTTTCAGTTTTTTTATCTTTCAAACCTCTAATCCATCCATACTTGCTAAACACATCAATAACCATTAGAAGATATTTAAACCCTTTATTCCATTTACTAAACTTTTGCATTTCAACCAAATCAGCAGCCCAGATATCATCAATCCCATTTGAGATTACTGATCTCTTCTGAAAGTTTCTTGTGATTGGTTTGTGAAGTTCGTCGGCTAATTGTTGAGTCCAATCACTACTCAACGCCGACTCGCGTTTAAACCAAGTCCAAGTTTTTGTTTAGTATTAATTATTGTTCTAGCTAAAGTATGTCCCCATTGTCTTTCTTTCCAAGGAATTGCATCCAAGGATTTAACCATCTTTCTATCAGCTTTATTTTTACACTTTCGGTCATCACCACAAACACTATAATCAACACCATGTTGCATAGCCACAGCATCGGTTGGTCCAGTTGGTTGATCATAAATTTCTAATATTTCACCAGTTTCCGGATTGTATAGCACTTGGTTTTCGAGATCATTATAAGGACCTGTATATTTATGCCCTGGTAAGGTCCATCCACCTTTTGGTTTTGGTAATTTACCAATCTGTTTATGGATATCTATTGCTCCTCCAAATCCCGGGAATGTAAAAGATGGTTTTCCCGCCCATCCCTTTTTTTTAACAAAACTTGTATACGATCCCTTGTAACCATTAGCTTTAGCTTTCTTGTATTGCTCCTTGTAGTACTTAACACGAGCTTTAGCATCTTTGATTTCATCACCACTTGGCTGTTTAAATAAATCAGGGTCAGTCAGTAATTGGAATCCTTTTTTAAAATCTACATGATACGGAGATCCAAATGCACCTGATGTTAATGCACTATCAACTATTCCAGCACCGTCTAAATCCTTTCTATCAGTTTTATACTTTTTATTTGGTCTCACTTTTGTTGATAACTGATCCATTGCTGTTCCAACAGAATCTTGAATAAATGGAGTGAGTTTACTAACGCCATAATTTACAGCTTTCTTCTGAAGATTTTTATTTCTCATTAACTCACTTGCACCATATCGCCCCATTTCAACTGCTTTTTTACCCATCCAAGGTAAACCGTAATTAACAAATCCGTCAACTGCTGTGCCAACTACCGTATCAAAGACGCCCGCCCCTTCAGACGGGCTGATTAGTTTTTTGACTTTCGTTTTCTCTTTTTTCCACTTCCAGTTTGAGAAGCTGATCCAGTTTTCACATATTTAACTTTTTTATTTCCACAAACTGCACATCTACAAAAGAATTGAGTTCGCCCTCTTTTATCAGTTTGGTAACCACTTGGCTCTGTGCAGGGAGTTACTCTTTTATCTACAATACAATATGATTCTTTCATTTAATATAATGTTTAGATAAATATGTCTTTATCTATTCATATAACAAATGGAAGCTAAATTCTTTTCTGAGATAGAAAAAAAGATGGATGTTAAAACACTAAAAGATTTTGAGAAAGATGTACGAACACAAATAAATAATGAGTTTGAGTCTCTTAGAAAGAAAAATGATGATCTTTCTAGAATACTAGTGGCTGGTGAATGTGAGATGTGGAAAAAGATCAGAGATGAGGACTATTCTTGGTTGAAAATAAATAGTGATAAAAAGAAGAAACTTTATCGTCTTATTGATATTTATTGTAGTTTTGATGAAATAGTTGATAGTGTTAAAGATTTAAATAAAAAAGTTGAGAAAGTTAAGCAACTAAAGGATGCACCAGCGGATAGTGAATAAAAAAATAATATTTATTAAATATTATTTTTATCCTCCAAAGTACGTTTTTATAAAATCACTATTGTCATTATCGAAATGTGGGTTATGTATTACATTTAGAATACTATTACCCCTTTGTCTCTCAAACAGATAGTATAAACACCAATAACCACAGAGAACAGTACTACGATTTTGTATTTCATCCATTGANATAGAAAAAAAGATGGATGTTAAAACACTAAAAGATTTTGAGAAAGATGTACGAACACAAATAAATAATGAGTTTGAGTCTCTTAGAAAGAAAAATGATGATCTTTCTAGAATACTAGTGGCTGGTGAATGTGAGATGTGGAAAAAGATCAGAGATGAGGACTATTCTTGGTTGAAAATAAATAGTGATAAAAAGAAGAAACTTTATCGTCTTATTGATATTTATTGTAGTTTTGATGAAATAGTTGATAGTGTTAAAGATTTAAATAAAAAAGTTGAGAAAGTTAAGCAACTAAAGGATGCACCAGCGGATAGTGAATAAAAAAATAATATTTATTAAATATTATTTTTATCCTCCAAAGTACGTTTTTATAAAATCACTATTGTCATTATCGAAATGTGGGTTATGTATTACATTTAGAATACTATTACCCCTTTGTCTCTCAAACAGATAGTATAAACACCAATAACCACAGAGAACAGTACTACGATTTTGTATTTCATCCATTGAGTAAACTATTCGTTTTCCGGAAGTATGAAAATACTTTAATGCTTCATTTGGCATTATTAAACCAAATGGATCAAAGTACTCAACTACATTGTCTATATTTCTATAACAAACCCAATGTGTTCCAGGACCTGTTATATCATCTAGATTAATTATTCCACATTCTTTTTTTATCTTATTAGGTAGTCCATCACGACTATAAATTCCTCTAAAATGTTTAATACCAAGTCTTTTTATCCATTCCATAAGGTCAAAGTTGGATAGAGGTTTAATTACAAAATGGTTCCGAGAATTGGAATTGAGTTGAATGGGCTGTTTTTTCCTAATAGTAGTCCCTTGCCTTTGGACTTTTTTTTTTTTACCCCCATTCCAATTGGGTTGTTCCATGAACCTAAAAAAGGCGGTGGGAAGTGATAAGGATATCCTTCACCATGTGTGGGTGGTGGAGGAGGTGGAACGTAAACATTTGATGTATTAGATGAACCACGTCTATCAACCTGCAATCCAGATCCAAACATCTTAGATACTAAACTAATTGCCATTGGAATTCCAATAGAAGCAAGAGTTCCAAGAAATCCTCCTTCTATCTGTTTATGAGTTGGTTTGATAACCACTCGCCCGCCAGATTGATACATTTTGTTTATTAGATCTATTTGTGATTTTGTTAATTCTCCTCTTATTGCTGGTAACATTGGGAAAAACTTTTTTGGAATTGTGATTCCTTTTCCAAATATTTTATTTAATCCAATTTCTCCAAGTGCAGAAGCAGCACCAGTTGCTAATGCAGGAACAACTTTTGAAACTCCTTTTATTGCGTAAGGTAGTACTTGCGCTCCAAGAGATGCGAGTGATGAAAATAAGTTTCCACCATGTTTTACAGAATGTCTAATCTGAGTTTTACTTATTTTTATATCTGATCCTGTGCCATTTGAAATAGATTTTTTTATTTTAGAAATTTGTCTTTTTGTCAACATTAACTCATCGGAACCTCGAAGCTGAGAATGTTTTAACCGAAGAGTTAGTGGTGATTTATTTCTTATTGCAGAAGCCAGTTTTGACTTTTGTCCATCTGTAAGTTTTACTTTATATTCAATATAAGATGACATTTTTATTATAATATTTAGATAACAAGTGGTTTAGGAAGTTCAATTACATCCCATATACTTTTCTTAGGTTTATTAAATTTTTTTAGTGTATTTTTAATAATTGTTTCTTGTTTAGATTTCAAAGACTTTAATTTTTTGGCTTTCCTAGCATTTTCTGTTTTTAAAGTCTCAAATTGGTCTTGTAGTTTTAATTTCTTTAATTGTTTTGCTTTCTTACCATTTTCTTTTTTTAAAGTTACAAATTGGTTTTGTAGTTTTAATTTCTTTAATTGTTTTTTTTTCTTATCAATTTCTTTTTTTGGAATCTTAATAATTTCTATTATTTTTAATTGTTTTGATTTCTTAGTATTTTCTTTTTTTAAAGTCTTAATTCTGTCTTTTGTAGATTGTTTAATAAAATAATTATTTAATATTTTTAATTTATCACTTGAAAAAGTATAATACATTACATTTAAAAATGTTTTATTAATTTGAGTTCTAGAAAAAGATAATTTTACTAGTTTGTTTCTATTTTTTAGTAATTTCATTAATTGTGATGAAGTAATAAAAAGTCTTTTTAATTTTAATTTTGCATTAACATAATTATTTAAACTAATATTTAAAAATAATTTTTCTCCTTTATCTAATTCTTTATTAATTATTTTGTAACCAAAAATTATAAATTTTTTAAAGTTTTCATTATCAATATAAACATCAAAAGGAAAATAATCTTTTTTATTTTTTTTACTGTCCATTTTATATTTTAAATATATTAAGCTCTTAGCAATAGTTTTCCATCTTGTTGTGATATTTCTGCTATTCTTTCATGTAAGACTAATGCATAAATATTATAATCAGCGTTTGGATTAGCACTTAATTCGTAATGAAATGCTAATTTTGTAACACCATCTTTGATATCCATTTTTTGTTTTGTCAGGTCAAAATAAACAAAAGGAAATAAAGATTTGAAATTATTTATATTAAGTAATGTCCCACCTTGGTAATCATTATTTGCATAGACGTATGACATTACATTTCTAAAAACTCTTGACATATCTGTAGAAGGTTTAAAGTGAATATCTGGGTATTCGTTTCCATTTGCTACTTCTAGATAACATCTTGATATATTAGCAGTATTTGGTAAATTAAAAGTGTCGTATAAAAATGGATTTGCTGTTTGTGCATCAATTCTTGCTGTATTAATTCCAAAAACAAAAACATGGCGTGGTTTTGAAATAGCATTTGTAATTCTAAAATGTCCTGTCTGTTGCTGTGAATTATTTGATCTTTCAACTACTTCATTCAAATATGCCCATTTGTAAGGTTTAAGATAATTCTCCATGTACAACTTTTGTCCTTCTGAATTAAACGTAAGTTTTGGAATAAAAAGTTGTAGTCTTGTTATAATAACTCTACAATTATCAGCTGCTTGAAAAATTAAATTTGCATCTTTTTCAATTTCAATGTTTAACTCAATTTTTGTATTTGGAAGTAATTTGTCTTCCAATGCTTCAAAGAAAGAATATCTATTAAGAGGAATTTCACAGTTTACTGTGGCTGATGCACCCAGAAGTAATTTTCTTGAATGAAAGCCTTTATTATAAGTTGCTTTTCTTTTAGCTAACTGATTTGTGCCACTAACTTCAAATTCTCTTTCCTCTGCATTTCTTGATGTATCAAGAAAATAAAATTCATTTGCAGCAACACTCTCAGCATATGAAGGATTATACTCAAGAAGATTTTTAATATTTACAACATGATTTGCATAATTACAACTATAAACTTCTCTACCATTTGCTAGGATACTTAATTTTTCTATAAATGAGTTACTACCATTTACAATTCCGTTATGGTCAGCAACAGCAATGTTTGCTCCATCTGCTAGCTTATTTACTTTAAAATCCATTGATAGTCTGGCGTTATACCAATCAAAAGGAGTAGTTTCTCCTGTATTATCAGCAACAAATCTAAGACCTGTTTTAGTTTGGTGAGCGTTATTTGCTGGAGCTGTATCTAAAGACTGTTCCAGGTCAAATACAACATCTTCATATCTATCTAAATATCTTGGATTTCTAAATGACTTCATTTTATTTTAATAATTATATAATTTTTCTCCTTCGTGTTGAGCCTCCACTAAGAAGGTTATTCAACATTTGATCTATCTCTTGTTGACTTATTGTTTCAACATTTTTATTAAAATTAACTTTTTTAGTTGGTTTTGCTTTTTCTTTTGATAACATTTGCACTATTTTATCACCAGCCTTTTTACCAACATGTTCACCAGTTTTTGTTGCAGCTGCTGTCACTGCTTTTTTAGCTCCTTTTTTAACAGCTGATTTGACTGTTTTTCCAAATAATTTTGGACCAAATGATTTAAACACATCCATCATTCCTTCACCATAAATATGTTGTCTTGTATATCTACCCAATTCAGGGTCAAGTTTCATTTTAAACTCTGATTGTCTACTCATTTTAATTTAATAGTTATATTACATCGAGTGAAGTATTAAAGTCATATACCAATCAATACCATTAAAACTTACTGGTCTTCCAAGTGAGTCTGTCACATAGATTCTCATTTCATCTATTTGAAATGAAGAGACATCACAATACAATGGTCTTTTAGGTTCAAACGTAAATGGAAAAGACCTTGTGAGATTGTCTGTTGGTATTACAGCAATGGTATTTGTATTTATTCCATTTACAATGCTATTAGTTATTGCGGTTGTGTTGATATTTAACACATCAATCGAATTTGTTATATTTGGTAGTTTTGTTCCATACTCTGTTTTTGTAATAATTTTCTTTTCAAATCCAATTAGGTCTCCAAAATCTGTTCCTCTTAGATCAAGTTGATAATCACCATCAATTGATATGAGAACTCGATAGGTAGATAGTATAAAAGTTAGATTGATTGAATAAGTTTTCTTTCCACCCGAATCTGTTGAGTGATGAGTCTTTTGAGACATATATTGATGAATGTAATCATTAATATCTGAGTAGGAGTACATTCCATCTGTAAAAGTAATTGTTTGCCAAGTCCTTCCATCATGAGTGTATTTGATTTTATTGTTTCCATAATCACTTCTAATATTATACCAAGAGTAGGTCATTGACAACCGATCAAGAGCAAGTTGATGTTTTTTATCAGGGTCAAGTTTTAGAGATGGATTAAACTTAATAGTAAAATCACCAGGTCTGCTTATACCTCTTTTTTCCCTGTTTATAGAGGAAATGTGAATAGCTCGTTCTTCCATTTTTATATAATTGGTATATATAACAATTATTCATCGAAGTGGAGGTGGCTAGTATTGGATATTTACCGACGCCGCGAAGCGGCGAGGTAAATATCCTATACTAGCCACCGACACTGAGGTGAATAATTGTTTTAGTATATACTAAAACAGTGAGATAATTGAGCACAAAATGATGATTTTTAACTCATTTGCTGTTGCCAACGATTACAATTTTGGCGCGCTGACCGAACGGCGGCGGTCGTCGCTTTTTCTTAGCGACAAATAAAACTTTTGAAGGCATTTGTTTAGCTCTTGCGGGGAAGTTTCTTCAAAAGGAGTTGTGAATTCTGTTTGTATTTAAAATAATTCTGTAAAAAAGATTATTAAATTTAGTTTTAAGCTTATTTATGAACAAGTCAACTAAATAAAGTAACGCAAGACTTAAGCTTAATTTGCATTTGTAAACAAACAACTTTTTTACCGGTTTTATCGATACTTCGTCACCTTCTTCGTGTATTTCGGAAATAGTTTGCTTGATTAGTTGTGAAATTTCTTAGTTTGTTACGGCAGCAAACCGGGAAAGCATTTTGCTCACAACCTACGCAAGTTTGGCGTCGCTCGCTCGGAGGAACTGGAGGTGAATCAGTGAATAGTTCAGGATATTCACTGATTGAGTAGCCAATCAGAGCGCGCGAAAAACACTATCCACTGTTTTAGTATATACTAAAACTTTTTAGTAAATCGTTAAGTTGTTTTTTTGAGATTACTTTCATTTGGTTGAGAAGATGTGCTATTTGAGAAAACTCAGGTATTACACCATTATTCCCAGCTAGAATTGAACCACCAAGTAATTCAAGTCTGTCTAGAAGTTGATGTGGGTTGTTAAAGTAAATCATTCCAGAGCCAGATTTTGTTTTATAATACTTAAGATTACTTAAATTTGTTGCATATATGCTTAATATGTTAAAATTTTTTATGTAATCTAATGTTTCTTCTCGTGGTTTTTTACTTTTTGGTTGAGCTAAAACATAACCGTTTGCGTCTCGTACAAAATCTGCAGTATTTTTTATTATTGCACTCAAATCTTCTAAATCTTCGTTAACATCATCAATTACTTTATTAATGGTAGAAACATCTTCTTTAAAATACTCAGAAGGGAGTTTGTGATATTCGTTAGTTCTTAGTATATCTTGTGAATCTTTACTATTTAAATATCTATCGAGGTCTTCAGCTTTAAATTTTGCTATTTTTGGTCCCTCATCTGATGTAGAGGGTAAAACTCCATCATCTTCTTTAGGCTCATCAATTGATTCAAAACCAGGTAATTGAGCCAAATCCCATTTTTTTACCTCATCCATTTTATCAAATCCTTCAGTTATAGCAAGTCTGTTTTGATTAAGTCCTTGTGTAAGAGCAAGTTGATTAGCTTTAAGTTGAGCTATAGTTGCGTTTTGTTGCTCATCAATACTTTTTTTAATGCTATCTTGAGATTTAATAAGTGGTTTAAATGTTTCTTTAAAACCCTCCCTCATATCTTGTTTTTGCCATTTTGTTGTTTTTATAACATCTCTCACCTGTTTAGTCAAAGCATCAGCTTCAATTTTATTTCTTGCAAGTTTTTTGTATTCTTCAATATTCATTTATATATTCTTTAGATAAATGGAAATACCAAACTATGATAGTGGTGACAACCCAGATAAAAAATATAAACAGTTATTTCATTACATGCCATCAGATACATTTCGGATGTTAATCTGTGGAAACAGTGGAAGTGGTAAAACTAATCTGCTGTATCATATGTTAATTAAACCACTACTGTATTATGATGAAATTTATCTTTACGCGCGTAATCTAGAACAGGATAAGTATCAAAAGCTAATTCAAAAAATGAGGGAGTTGAGTAGTAAACTAGGATATGAAATACTTCATGTAAGTAATGATGAAATAATCCCAGTGTCAGAAATGGATTATGAAGACAATCAAAAACTTGTAATATTCGATGATTATGTTTGTGATAAAAACCAGAGGCAACTGATTGATTATTTTATTCAAGGACGACATAAGAATTGTTCGGTGGTGTATCTCAGTCAATCGTTTTACAAAACACCAAAGGATATTCGGTTGAATTGTTCTCATTACTGTTTATACGAATTTCCATCATCAAGGGAAGCCAACAGAATATCATCTGAGTTGGGAGTGGGTAAAGAAGATTACCACGCAGCAACTAAAAAACCATATTCATTTCTATACGTTGATAAACCAAGAAAACGTATTGCAAAAAACTTTACTGGTAATCTAGTCTAATAATAAAAAATGGGAGTATTTAACGAACAATCTCTTGATCATCCTTTTGCTAGGGGAGTACAAGGTGCACCAGGAGTTGGATTTAATCTCACTTCAAGTGGGGATTATGATATGATAAATAAAAAACTAAGAAATGTAGGAGCACCTAGTGCTAATACTGATGCTGCTACAAAAAAATATGTTGATGATAATTCCAGTGGATCACCCTCAACATCAAGACTAACAGTTGATTCAAACATTGATATGAAAGATACATACCGTATTCAAAATCTTATCTCACCACTGGATTCTAAAGATCCAGCAACAAAATATTACGTAGACAACACATTTCTTGACAGAGATGGATCTTACCCAATGAAAGGAAATCTAAATATGGACAACAATCGTATATTTAATCTACCAGCTCCAAATGGTAGTAATCAACCAACACCATTAGCTTTCACAGATTTGAAGTATCTTCACGTTAGTGGAACAAATAAAATGACTAATAATCTAAACATGGATAACAAGGGAATGATTCATTTAAAACCACCAACAAACCCCACAGATGGTGCAACCAAAAAGTATGTGGATGACTCAATACCTAATACTAGTTCTTTTATAAAAAAGGATGGAAGTGTATCAATGACAAGTAACCTTAATGTTGGTAATAATAAAATAGTTGGTCTCGCAACTCCAACATCAAATACAGACGCCGCAACCAAAAAGTATGTGGATGATAATGCTGGAAGTCCAGATTTAAGTGATTACTTGGAAAAAGATGGTACTGTCACTATGACTGGAAACCTTAATCTTGGTAATAATAAAATAGTTAACCTCAGTGACCCCACCACAGATCAAGAAGCTGCTAATCGTGGATGGGTACGTAAACAAATAGAAAGGTTTGATCATCATTCTGGAGATGGAATAAGTAGTGTATTTACCATAACAGATCCAGGTGCACCAACGACTTTGTATCTACAATATATCTCAGGTTCATCATTTGATGATTTTGTTTTTACAACATCAACACCTGGTCAACCTCTTGTAGGGTGGGCACCAACTGCTAACACATACATTAACAAAATAGAATTTCAATTTGGTTCGCGAAATATAAACGTTGACTTTTTGTGGTTTATTCCTAGAGATGTCTCTCATTCCAATTCTAACTTTTGGGTAAGTGGAAATCGCACTGGCACTTGGTCATTAAATATACACAAGTCTTGGAATTATAATATGTCAGGAGTAAAACTAAGAACCCATAACAATTCCAATCACACACCTATCACTTGTCGGTTATTTACTGATCTACCAAAAGCAATAACCAAACCACTTAAGAGAATAGAAATTAATACACCTAAAATTGTATTAAGTGGGATTGTAAAAGCTAATGTCAACCTTGGTGGTAATAAAATAGAGAATCTGGGAAAACCAACCCAAGACAAAGAAGCAGTAAACAAAAGTTATGTTGACAATCTAGTTCATCATACCGCAGTTCAACCAAGTCATTATAAAGATGTGTTTAGTTACCTCATGTCAAGTGGGTCTCAATGGACTGATGAAACGGATGATGATTTTAGATTTTATATAATACAAATAGGAGATTTAGCGCCAAACAAAGGAAACTTTCACGACTATAATCACAAAGTAATTTACGTGACTATAACAAAGAATGATTTAACAGGAAAATTTGATTATAAGATGGGAATTAATTTTTACAGACTAACTGCAAATACTGATTACACGTTGTGTTTGGAATTACTCAACACTGATTATAATCTTTGGAATAATAGTCAAATAAGTGTTGACAAAGGAACTTCAACAGGATTATCAATTGGAAATGTAGGTATAAGAAAACTATCCCATAAGTATACTGATTCAACAGGAAAAACAAAAACTATGTACTACCACAGAATAATAGTTAATTTCCGGAAGTTGTCATCTGGGAATAAGTTCTTTCTTCACATTTTGGTTGATATTCTTCAGGGTGGATATAACCTGCGTGCGTATCCGGATCATTTTTCAGGAATTTACATCATTGCTTATGGAATTGAGGGTACATTTAGCAATATCGACCCAGATAAAGTTTACGACTATCACACCGCATTTGATATCAAACCAACAGAAGTAGTGTATAATGTTGATATTAATGCAAATCAAAAAGCAATTAAAAATATCAAACTTGATCGAAACAATGATAATAGTGCTGCAACAGTTGCATTAGTAAAAGAACTAGCTCCTTTTACTAAAAATGCTTTGTATAGATTATACTTTAGTGAGTTTTATGACTTTGATAATGCAGATAGTTATGGAATAAATATAGGCTCATCTGGAATTATTATTAATTCTTTGAAACCTAATATTACGCTACCACCAAATAAAGACCTAAGTGAAATAACAGAAAAAGGATTACATATTAATGGTTATGATGTTACTTTTTCTCCTCCACATTCTTCAAAATCTACTTTATGTATTGTTTTTACTCATTGGAGAAATAGGAGTTTTACCCTAACTAAATATTTATCAACAAACAATAATATTTTAGTAAAATTAGATTATAATAAATCAAACAATAAAGTAACTTTGACTGTTGGTAAAACAACTCAAAATTTTACCATGCTAAGTAGTTTTGATGGAAAAATAATTGTTGTATGGNCACATTTTGGTTGATATTCTTCAGGGTGGATATAACCTGCGTGCGTATCCGGATCATTTTTCAGGAATTTACATCATTGCTTATGGAATTGAGGGTACATTTAGCAATATCGACCCAGATAAAGTTTACGACTATCACACCGCATTTGATATCAAACCAACAGAAGTAGTGTATAATGTTGATATTAATGCAAATCAAAAAGCAATTAAAAATATCAAACTTGATCGAAACAATGATAATAGTGCTGCAACAGTTGCATTAGTAAAAGAACTAGCTCCTTTTACTAAAAATGCTTTGTATAGATTATACTTTAGTGAGTTTTATGACTTTGATAATGCAGATAGTTATGGAATAAATATAGGCTCATCTGGAATTATTATTAATTCTTTGAAACCTAATATTACGCTACCACCAAATAAAGACCTAAGTGAAATAACAGAAAAAGGATTACATATTAATGGTTATGATGTTACTTTTTCTCCTCCACATTCTTCAAAATCTACTTTATGTATTGTTTTTACTCATTGGAGAAATAGGAGTTTTACCCTAACTAAATATTTATCAACAAACAATAATATTTTAGTAAAATTAGATTATAATAAATCAAACAATAAAGTAACTTTGACTGTTGGTAAAACAACTCAAAATTTTACCATGCTAAGTAGTTTTGATGGAAAAATAATTGTTGTATGGTTAGCAGAAGATTTAAGTGCAAATGTCACAAAAGTTTCAATAAGTAACTACAGTGGTACATTAACTATACCAGCTGTTAATTACAATGCTAATCAACGTTTGAAGTTTACAACTGAAGATGGAGTGTTAATAAGATTAATGTACTCTCCAAACTTTTACGACATCGACTCTGAGAAATATCATAAAGTAATGCTTCAAGAAAAGTTAAATGGAAGTTATATAATGTAAATATAAATGAAAAGAAATAGTAGTAAAAAAAAGAGTATTTTTGAATTTAATCATATTGATAAATCTTTATCAGAAGAGCAAAGAGAAACTATAAAAGACCTTTATAAACATTACCATAAGAAACATTGGTGTTATAAAAAATCTTATAAATCTTATAAATTTTTAGATAATATTTTTTCTATTTCTAGTTTAACTCTTATTGCTGTTGGCACTATCACAGGAGGGCTGACACTCAATCCTATTATTCTTGGAGTAATCAACGGTGCGGGAATAATTGTGGCTGGAATTACAAAAAAGAAGGATTTTAAAAAGAAGATAGAAACAACAAAACTGGGTTATACCACTTATGAAAAAGTGCTTGTTGAATTACGATCAGCACTCAGAGGAGATGAGTGGAATAAACAAGAATTTATAGATCGTATTAAAATATTAGATGAAATGATAATTGATCAATGTCCATCGAGTGTGGATAANTCAACGTTTGAAGTTTACAACTGAAGATGGAGTGTTAATAAGATTAATGTACTCTCCAAACTTTTACGACATCGACTCTGAGAAATATCATAAAGTAATGCTTCAAGAAAAGTTAAATGGAAGTTATATAATGTAAATATAAATGAAAAGAAATAGTAGTAAAAAAAAGAGTATTTTTGAATTTAATCATATTGATAAATCTTTATCAGAAGAGCAAAGAGAAACTATAAAAGACCTTTATAAACATTACCATAAGAAACATTGGTGTTATAAAAAATCTTATAAATCTTATAAATTTTTAGATAATATTTTTTCTATTTCTAGTTTAACTCTTATTGCTGTTGGCACTATCACAGGAGGGCTGACACTCAATCCTATTATTCTTGGAGTAATCAACGGTGCGGGAATAATTGTGGCTGGAATTACAAAAAAGAAGGATTTTAAAAAGAAGATAGAAACAACAAAACTGGGTTATACCACTTATGAAAAAGTGCTTGTTGAATTACGATCAGCACTCAGAGGAGATGAGTGGAATAAACAAGAATTTATAGATCGTATTAAAATATTAGATGAAATGATAATTGATCAATGTCCATCGAGTGTGGATAACTTTGCAGAGAAGTATAAAAATAAATTTAATATATAGATTAAAATACCAAGTTAGTATTTTAATCATAAGTATCTAAAGGTATATTTTTGATTATCTTTTTTGGAAGTTGCTGTTTTATAAGATTTTCTTTTACAACAAATACTAGAAATATTACCAGCATGAATATTTAATTCATCTGAAGCTTTTTTGATAGATATAAATCTTCTTTCTTTTCCAGTTTCTAAATTTTTAGAAATAATTGGTTTACTATTGCTTTTTTCAACATTTTGCTTATGAGTAAGTAATTGCAAATTTTTCAACCTGTTATCAGATTTAATATTGTTCTGATGATCAATCTCAAAAAATCGTGGTATTGACCCTCGAAAAACCTCATATACAAATCTATGTTGGTAGTATTTCTTTGGTTTTTCAAGTTTTTTATCACAAATGTTAAAATATAAATAACCATTAGTTTTTATCATTTTAATAATTCTTTTATTTTTTAAACTTAAGATATCTCCATTTTTTCTTGCGGCGTAATTGCTAAAAACAGGATGTTTGTAGTATTTTAAGCCATCAATTATAACTCTTTGTTTTATTCTTGTATCTCTAAATTTATAATATCCGTATTTTCTTATAGAAGGTAATACCTTTAAAAAAACCCATTCTCTAAAAAATTTTGCAGCGGGTAATCTTGATCTAAAAACTAATTCGTAGAAACCTGCTTCATCAATAAAATAAGTCATAGAGCAACCGTGCGAATCACACGGTTGGTTCAAAAGAATTTTTCTTTTATGATTTTCACTTACATGACTCTTTATAGCTTTTTCTGTATTTTTGTAGCCCAAAATAGTTGCTACTTCTTTAGCCTTAAACCAAATCCTTAGTTTTTCATCAATATAAGACTTAAACTTGATTCCAAGATGTCTATTTATAAAAACTTTTTCTAAAGTGTTTTCCATTTATAATTTAATTTTATTTCTTTAAGCCATAATTCAATTTTATATTTAAATAAATCTAAATAAAATATAAAATTTTGATATTGTTGCTAATATCAAAATTAAATGTTTTTCTCAATCCTATGAATAACTTTGTAATGATTATTTAGTGTTGTTTTACTACGAAATGCTTTTGGGCAATATTTACAAAGAATACGAACACCAGCCATATACTTATGTATATTTTTGCTGATCTTATCATAATCATTACTTAGAATAAATGCGTAATCGTTACTACGATACTTCTCTTTCATCTTTATTTGAGATTCTGATACACAGTAATTGTTAGTTGGTGATTTGAATTCAATACAGAGACCTTTATATCCAATGTGATAATCTAATATCATTAGATCTGGTTGACCTCGTTGATAACCTTTCTTATATGAATCTAGTCTCTTTTCCTCAGTATCTTGATTCTCTCCCAAACCGGCTACTAATATAGAATCTGGGTAATATTTTCTAATTAGTTCAACAACTTTGAAGTGAAGGTCTGTCTCATTTTCTATTTTAAACATTTTGTTATTTGGGTTGTCAAACATTTTATAAAATCCACATTTTCTTATAGATGGAAGAACTTGTGAAGTTACCCAATTTTTGAACTTCTTAGCTTTTTCTAATTTTGAGGATAACAAAAGGGAGTAGAAACCTGATTCATTTATAAAAATAGGAGGTCTACCTCTTTTGGAATAACCCGTCGAAACGACGGGAAAAGATTTTTGGTCTTCAGAGTCAACATGTTTTCTAATAGACTGATCAGTATCACTATAACCTAGAATAGTTGAAACATCTTTTCCTATGAACCAAACATTTTGCTGTTTGTCAATAAATGATTTTAACTCAATTCCTAAATCTTTATTAGTAAACTTCTTCTCCAACATGTTTGTCATTTTATTAATTTATTTTAAATCTTTAAATCCCCGTTTTGTGGACGCTGGAATGGTGAGTTTTCATAAAGGATTAAAATAAAATTACAATTTTTATATTTTTGAAATATAAAAATTATGGATATAACTTTTTCTCTCTTAAAAGTTCTTCAAGACCTTCAACATCTTTTCCATCATAAAAATCTCTCCATTGTTTCTGTTCCTCATTCATTGTAAGATTATAACCTTCAGCAAAATAAGCATCTTCATCTACTTCTTTTTTATGTAAATAAAACTGTTCTGGAGTATGAGTTTTTTCAAGTGTATGGACTAATTCTTTTAATTTTTTTCCTATTACAGGATCTTCAACTTCAACATATATCTTCATAGGAATATATTCATCAGTATCTAGTTGAATATATTTTGTTAGATTGTGAAAACACATAGTTTTTTTGTATTCTTTTAACTCTTTTGATTCCATATCATTATCAAATATTATTTTTTTTATCTCTTTCTCAGGTTCTTTTGAGTAATCTACTTCCTCAGCAATATTAGCTAAGAATTTTCTTTCTTTTAGTGATGGATTATTAAGGTTGATAAACCCAAGTATATCACCTAAAGATCTTTCCATTTCAACTAAGTAATTTAAAACAGATGGATGAAGTTTGTATAACACTTCACATATATTTTGTAAATTCAATAATGAATGAGGATTGATCTCTATTCGCATTTTATTTATATGTTTATTTCTTTAACCCTTTATAACAATTCCACCATTTTTCATAAATCTCAAAAGTTATAGAACTAATCTTAAGTTCAATAAGTTTATACTTTTCACAACCCATCTCCTCCAAAAGTTTTTTGGTTAAATAATTAATATTTATCATTCTCTTTCTGAAGTATTGCTTGTTTAGTATTTCCATGATATGATTATCTATTTTTACTAATCTATCATAAAGTTCACATTTTTCTTCATCATTTAGGTTTATTTTTTTAGAAATTTCATTTACCTTTTTCTCATAGTGGTATTTCCTATGATAAATACTCTTTTTTCTATAATGCAACCTATCCAAATCTTTTACATCAAATAATCCTAATACATGACCGTTTGCTGTGCCACATTCATCACAGATTTTGAAGCCAGAATCTATTGTAAAAAATTCAGTATTTGAACAATTTAAACATTGTGCTTTTTTACTAACTTTCTGAATAGGTTTTTTATAATTATGAAGTATAGCTAAATATTTTTTTATTTCTTCTTCTGTATAAGACATTTATTATTTATACTTTATTTACTTTTAAATAATTTTTTTATCTAAAAGCCAAAGTATGAACATTATCTTTGAGTACCTCTCTTTTATCATCTTCATTACTTAACGCTACTTTATTTACTTCCTTTGAATATATATCATGTTTTTCACTTCTTATTATTTTCATTTTTCTCATTTCTCTCTCACCTGAAAATAGACATTTAACATAATCATCAAAATCTAATTTCTTTTTTATAATATTTTTCTTTACTCCTTTACACTTTTTTACTTCCCTATCCTCTTCAATTTTAAAACTATAAAGTTTGGGGCGCAATCCAACAAAATGTGTTATCTGTTTTCCGCCTACTTCATCTTTAAACATTCCAATCACTTTTTTATTTACTCCTGTAATTATCCCAGAAGGATGGATGAGAGGATAATCAGAAGTATCAAACTTATCTCTTACATCAGGACATATATCTAGATAAAAATCTTTTGTTTTAATCTCATACATTAGACTATCCGTATCTGTAAACAATAATTCTGCTTTATTTTTATATTTCTTTTTAATGTATGTGTAATGAAAATTAAACATTAGCGTTTTTGATAAATCTAAAATTGCTTGACCAACGTATACTGGTTTGTTAAAATACACTTCTGTCTTTAGCATATGTACCGCTATAAGATTTTTATCAAATATTGTACATCTATCAAAGTTGGGTTTACTTGTTAGCTTGACAGCTTTTTTACGATTATCAATAAGATGAATATTTTGTCTTTTCCTTATATTTTCTATTTTTTTTCCAAAGACGGAGTTATTCATTAATTTGAAAAAGTCTTTCTCAAAATTGTTGGCTGCACACATTCTAAGTTCAGTATTTTTTCTAATATATGGTTCCATCCAAGGAGATTGATAAAATGAAATTCCTCTATGAACAGCTGTTATTCTCATACCCAACTCAAGACATTGTCTAAGATTTCGATAATGAACAACATAATTCTTTCGTGGTTTAAAATGACTAATTAACTTTTCAACACCATTAACAATCATCTTCTCCGGTGCTAAAGGGTAGCCATTATGTGTTTCCCATAGGTGAGGAGGATATTCCAAATCAACTTCAAATATATAACCTTTTCGCCCAAGATTTGACATACTATGATTTGCTTTCTCTAGTATTTCATCTACCTTTTCTAATGTTATATCTTTCATCCATTTAAATCCGTGTGTTGGGAGTTGTTGAGACATTGCCCAACCATAAAGATTGTTTGCATCTAAATATTGAATAAATGTTGACTCCTTTCCAGGATTATAATCTTTCATATATTTGTTATTAGCTTCCGCATATCTTTTTGATATGTGTGTTATACCACCACGAATACCTTGCTCAAACATCATTAACATATCATAATCATGAAGTAACTGTAATTGCTGACCTGTTTCTTTTAGACATGCATCCCAAGCTAGACCTGGGGATGTGTAATAGTGAACTGGATCTAATTTGTAATGTTTGAGACAAGTTTTCCTAAAGTTTTCAAATACATCTGCTAGAAGTAGAACATCAGATTTTAGGTAAAGATTGTGATAATCTCTTATTGTTTTACATTCAAATGTATTCCAGACTTTGATTGCATGTTGGTAATCATCATCACTAATATCTTCATCATAAAGTTGGGAGTAGAATTCCTTTTTGGGTGGTAAACATGTTTCTGATAATTTATCAAGTGATGAAACATAATCATAAGGATAAACTCCCTTACGAGTAAGTAGTTCTGTATTAGACTTAAATACTTGTTTTGTATTATGAAAGTCATCTGGGGATAAATTTGAAACAAGATTGGCAAGTGATGTTTGAAGAAACTTGAATGAATCTAAAAATCGTATTTCAAAATTTATGTCCATCATTTTATCAAGCTTATGAGAATAATACTCACCAACTTTAATACTTTTTGAAAAAGAAATATATTTTTCCTCTGTAGCTGGAATACAACTTAAATCTCCTTCTAATCTAGCAAGTTGCTTTATAAACAGATGAGCATCATATCCCTGAAGATTATGAAATATAACTGGTAATACTTTTGGTTTTTTACACATAAGATTACATTTGTTATGTGCTGCTCCACGATACTGACCTGTAAAATGACAATGATCTCTAACTTTATCCTCTTTTAATTCGCGACTACAAATGTGACAGTTAACTGCTTTCTCAAATAATTTTTGTTCTGCACTAGTTAGTCTAAGAGGTTTTGGTCTTTGATAAAAATCATTGTAAATTCCTTTAGTTACTTCCGCAAGTTTTTCTACAAATACTTTTGATATATCCTCATCTTCAGAATTTTTTGTATAAATTATTGGTTTGATTTTTTTATCAACTATTCCCTTTACATAAAAACAAAATCCTGATGGTTCATGTTTTTTGATAGTTGTAATTATAAGAGTTTTTTGGATTAGGACTGCAACTATTCATTGGTTTAGTAAAGCATTCAAAATCTGCATAAACTACAAAAGGAATAGGAAGTTTTTTGTGATAATTTTTAAAGTATAACATTGTGTTTGGTTTGGGCATTGTTATAAGTGCTGTTTGATTGTTAGAACAATATTTAATATGTTTTTCTAATAATTCTTCTTTAGTGTAATGACTAAAGCATCTCTTACAAATAAATATTTCACCATTATGACTTGTAGTTTTTTGAGACCTTATCAACCTATGAAAATTTTTAATAAGAGTATAATGTGAGACACCATCTTCTTCATACAAAAATAAATCAATAGTATTTTTACAATCTCTCTTTGCCTCTCTCAAAGGATAAATAATCATTTTGTCATCATTAGAAAAAACATTTATTCCTGGAAGTTCTGGATTAAGTTTCTCAAATTGAGTGATATTATTTACTTTCATTGGAAAAGTAATTCCTTTAGTGTTAAGTGAAAACTCATACTTTTCTAAATCTTTTATTCTTTCTTCTTGTGATTCTTTTGGATGAAGATACCTGAGTATACACCAAAGAAAGCATTTGTCATCTTTATTTTTAATGTTAACAATTGCTTTTTTATTTTTTATCCAACTAGGAAGATCAATATAAGATGATCCTTTATTTGGGTTATACTCAACAGTATGAATTTCAAATTTTACCACTTCTTTAAAAACCCAATTACTTCCTTTTTCTGAATACGCTTCCATTTGTCCTAAAATAGTTTCTTTACTAATATCTATTAAACGTTGAACATCATCTGATTCTAGATTATTAAATGTTGGTGAATTAAAATAAGCCTTATCTTCTTTTATATCTATAATACCTTGTGTTTTTTCTATTTCTTGTTTTTCCATCAAGCAAACTAAAACTAACTTAAATTTTATATTTCTATGATAAGTAAAAAAATCAACTAAAGTTTCATTTATATTTTCAAAAAATTCTTCCGGTTTCAAACCAAAAACTCCTTCAATTATGTATTTATTTGCAAAACCTGAAAGAGATGATTTTTCTTTTACAAGTCCTTGGTCATATTCTCTCATTGCACGTTCAAGAGCTTCTCTTAAATAGAGTGGAGTATCTTTGGGTATTTCTTTATTTTTTATACATTCCGCAAAATACTCATCAAATGTTTTTATCTTTTTCTTTTTAGTTGTATCTTTCTTTTTCTTATAATCCTTCTTTATATCTACTCCTTTTTTTACTTTTTCATTAAGCTTATCTAGTTTTCTTATATCTCTAATTATTTTTTCTTTTTCACTTAATTGTTTATAGTTTTTCTTTATTTCTTTTTTC